GCACTTGAATTTTACGAAAAAACACTTAAAATAAGAGAAAAAGCTCTACCTTCTACTCATCCCGATTTGGCTCAATCCTACAACAACATCGGTGCAGTGTATAACAATATGGGTGACTACTCGAAAGCACTTGAATTTTACGAAAAAGCACATAAAATAAAAGAAAAAGCTCTGCCTCCGAATCATCCCGATTTGGCTATTTCCTACAACAACATCGGCCAAGTGTATAACGCCATGGGTGACTACTCGAAAGCACTTGAATTTTACGAAAAATCACTTAAAATAAGAGAAAAAGCTCTGCCTCCGAATCATCCCGATTTGGCTATTTCCTACAACAACATCGGTCAAGTGTATCACCACATGGGTGACTACTCGAAAGCACTTGAATATTCTAAAAAGGACTTTGAAATTACAAAACAAGTTCTGCCTGAGAATCATCCTGATTTGGCTTTCCCATACAACTGGTTCGGAAAGATTTATCGCAGTATGAAAGATTATTCAAAAGCACTTGAGAATTTTGAAAAATGTCTCGCAATATGGCAAAAAGCCTTACCTGAAAATCATCCATATCTAGCTGTAGCATGCGGTAATATAGGTGATGTTCATCGATTAATGGGTAATTATGAAAAGGCACTTGCATTTCATCAAAAAGCATTAACTATTCAAGAAAATGTTCAATGTAATCCTCTAGAATGTGCATTGACGTATATAAATTTAGGTGAAACTTATCGTGAAGTGAAAGATTATTCAACAGCATTGACATATTTCGAAAAAGGATTAGAAATACGTGAAAAGAAATTACCAAAAAATCATCCTAATTTAGCTGTTGTATATCATAATATGGCAAAATTATATTTGGCTACACGAAAATATAGTATGGCAATGAAAAATATTCAACAAGCAGTTGAAATAGCTCAAGAAAAATTACCTTCAACTCATCCTCATCTTTTGGAATATAAAGAAACATTTGAAAAAATTCGAAAGAAAATGTAATTTATTTTTTTTTCGTTTACTTGCTCAATAAATTGGTTTTGATTCTTTTTCACTTCCCTACTTTTCTAGGCTCATTTTCACGCGTACGCGCGCGCGCGCGACCAGGGAGAGCCCTATAGGTATGAAACGGGTACACACAGAGCGGACCACGCCGGACTGGTAGGGCAATGTACATAGGTGTACCGTACATAATGACAGCAGGGACCTACGTACATTAACGGCCTTCCCGAGTACTACACTGCTTTCGCCATTCCATGACGAATAGAATCTCTCTCTGGATCAGGTTACGAAGCCACCTGATAAGGCTGTGATATAAATTGGTATCTATCTTCTAACATAAATAACATAGACTTAACATAATAATAATATACACTAAATGTGTACAACGACGAAGAAAAAAATTATTTCATCCGAAATAAATCATCTATATCTCATTCTAATATTATCTCAATGTAAGTATTGTTATGAAAATTTAATTTAGAATTGTTCTTTCAAGAAAACAAAAAAAAAAGTTTTTTTTTTATCTTTCAACTATTAATTTATTTGTTCAAGTCTTTCTCAAGATAAATAAGATCATTTTTGAAGCAACATACCCAATCTTGTTATAGGTATAAATCAATAATAAATCATATTCTTTTTTAACATTCTCATGGTTTTTATAATTTCATATAATTCATAAAAACAAACAGATGAATTTTAAAAACATCATAGAATAAATTTCTATCATAAATCAATATATCCTAACATATATTATCATTGAAATCAAAAACATTGTAAAAAAATATGAATCATAATATAACATCATTGAATGAATGAATGAATGAATTTCATTATAAATTAATGCATTGTAAAACAATGAATTTAAATAACATCATTCAATAAATTTCATTCTAAAATAATACATTTTAATATAATATGATTCAATAAATATCATTGTAAATTAATGAATTTTAACATAATATCATATAATAAACTTCATTGTAAATTAATACATTTTGATGCATCATAAACTGATAAATCTCATTGTAATATAATGCATCTTTATATAATATCGTTCAATAAATATTATGGTAAATTCATGCATTTTAACATAATATTATACAATAAATTTCATTGTAATTTAATACAATGTAATGCATCATAGACTTACATGTTTCATTTTAAAAATAATGCGTCTTTATATAATATCATTCAATAAATATTATGGTAAATTCATGCATTTTAACATAACATTATACAATAAATTTCATTGTAATTTAATACAATATAATGCATCATAAACTTACATATTTCATTTAAAAATAATGCATCTTTATATAATATCATTCAATGAATATCATTGCAAGTAATAAATTTAACAACATATAATAAATTTCATTGTAAATTAATGAATTTTAACACAATATCATACAATAAGTTTCATTGTAAATCAAAACATTTTAATACATCATAAAATTGATAAATTTCATTGTAATATAATGGATTGATTGAATTGTACAGAAATGAATTTTAATAACACCCACCCCTAGATTTCGTTCTAAAAAAAATGCATCATTATATAATATCGATCAATAAATATCATCGCAAATTAATGTATTTTAATTCTTTGCGTCCCAAATTATTTCTGCTGAACACTGACACGTCCAGATAAAAACCAACATACTCGCATACGGATTCACGTGCGCACACCTATACACCCATATCTACAAACTCGACACCCACCACATCCACATCGTGGAACATTCTTTATTGCTACATTTCAGTAAATTACATAATTATTAAACATGTATAGATTTCTTTTTCCTACTATAGAATTCAAAGGTTTAACATAACATTATGTAACAAACTTCATTATAAATGTATACATTTTCATACATTATAAACTTATACGTAGCATTGTAAATAATTATAAATTGATAACTGTATGTCATTCATGAAAAATCATAATGTAAAATAATATTAATTATTGTAAGTAATATAAAAAATTGTAAACCGTAAAAATAAATCATGTGAGTGCCATGTTTTATCCTTATTGAGCATGCTCATGATTTGTTCGATCGAATCGTATGAGAATACTGGTGAAAATGTGTTTCATATATATATATGTGTTTTTAAACATACATTGCCAATCAAAGACATTCTAATGATGTTGATATCAATTTGACGAACGATAATTGACGATGATGTGCACATTCGAATGTAATTGATTTGATGAATCATCACATGATTAATTGAAATGATGAGACACGAATTAATTTCATCGTTTTTCATGTGCATAGATGTGAATACTTGTCCTTTGTTCATATACAGTCCTTCATAGACAATACATATTCTTTTCTTTCTTTTTTTTTGGATCAGAAGAAATTTCTATTCATCATCATCATCATCATCGAAAAAATAAAAGCAATTAATTTGAATCATAAATCATAGAATTATTTTTTAGTACGACTTTTGAAAATTGATTAGAGTGCATTATTCAAATGAACATATTCATTTTCTTGGAAACACAAGATCAACAAGTCTGTTGAGTACGACGGCACTGTCATTATATGAAAACTCGTTAAGACAAAGTCAAATAACTGTACAGAAAATTAAAAGGTTTTCATAAAATTCGATGTCTATCCCATCGAATGAATATTTCTGTTGAAATTAAATCACTAATAGGGTGTGGGTGTGGGTGTGAATGAAGAACATAGACACACCCACCAACTTGTGTTGCTTTGTT